TCGTGTGTAATGGGTAAATGGTAATACACACGATTTTTCAGTTTTCCAATAATTTTGATAAAAGATCACATGAAGCAAACTTTTTTAGATATTGCATTATGTGCGATGATCTACAAATCGTCATTACTTTCGAATACCAAGCTAAAATACAATACTAGTGATACCAATGGATCAAAAAAGAAAAAAATCATTTCGTACATCGAATTTTTGGTTATTTTTAATTTCGTGTTCAATACAAATCTAGCTTTAATCGCGACAATTCTCGCGTTTTGATTTTTTTTTTTTTTTTTCACCTAGTATACACTTCATAGGAGCAAAAATGAACAGTGACAATTTGACACTAAACGAATATGAAAAGCAAAGACTAGAAAATATACGTCGCAATGAGGAAATCCTTAGACAACTTAATATACCGGAAATTGTTGTCTCGATGAAACCATCGCCAAAGCAAAAAAAGCCTAGACCAAAGCAACCAAAGAAAGAACCTATGATGCCAACGCGTAAATCTTTACGAATACGTGGTCTCAAGCCTGACGACCTCGCTACCAAACGAAAGACTGAAGAGGAAGGTCACGTGCTAGAGAAACGCGCTCGAAAAGAGGGCAACCTTGATTTAAGCGCGATACGTTCTGCAAACACGTCCCTTAGTGATACAAATCATTTTATTGGCATTTTGTCGGGTCTGACAAAATCACAACCGAACAATGAAGATATCGATCGCAGCGCTGTTGAAGGCGATGAAAGGCTTCGATCAGTTCGATGGGCGTGTCGGTCGCTCGTTATTGGACAACAGTGGCCATCTGTTAAAGTAACACCCGAACGAATTCATTGTGTAGCTGTTCACCCTGCAAAGGATAAAATATTAGTTGCTGCTGGAGACAAGATTGGATCGTTAGGCTTCTGGGACGTTAAGGATAAGATTGAATTGGAGGATGGAAATTATGGACCGCGAACTTACATGTTTAAGGCTCATACGAAGTCCCTACTAACCTCTAAATATTCTCCCATTGACTCCAACCAACTCTTCACTTGTTCTTATGATGGATCAATTCGTTATTTGGATCTTAACCAAGCTAAATTTTTAGAAGCTTTTGCTCCCGACGAGCATTATCCTCTGTCTTGCATGGATCTCCATCCTAACTCAAAAATAATTTATTTTTCAACAAATCACGGAACGTTTGGCATCAAAGACCTCCGCGAATCCACAAAAACATTTAGAGAATATACTTTGCACTACAAAAAGATTGGATGCGTGTCTATTAATCCACACCAACATGAATTACTGGTAACTTCTTCTTTGGACAGATCTATTCAACTTTGGGATCTTCGCAACCTGAAGGCCAATGAGAATACGTCTATTCAAAAGCTCACATTCGATAATTCGGCCACGAGCTGCTATTGGAGTCCTAAAGGCGATCAAATAGTATCTACTTGCTATGATGATACGGTGAGGGTACTTAAACTTGATGCTGAAAAAAATTTAAACTCCTCTTTTGTTATTCCACATGATAACAAAACTGGAAGATGGGTAACCGCATTTCGTGCGACATGGCACCCAAACTCGGATGTTCATCCTCACTTTATTATTGGAAACATGAGAAGATCGGTCGATGTGTTTTCTAGTATAAACGGTGAATTGATTTGGAACGTTAGAGATGAAGAAAGGTTAACCGCCATACCCGCAGTTAATGCGTTTCATCCAAGACTCAACTTCATCATAAGTGGAAATGCTTCAGGAAGGATGGTTGCATGGGAGGAAAAGATTAGACCAACACCTACGGTTTTAATTACAAAGAATAATCGCTAATTTTTTTTGTGGATAATGTGATCTACTTATATTTTCCAGATATTTTAATATATTTAATATCGAGTACTTTATCATGTTAAATCACATTTCGGTGGTATTTCATTTGGCTGCCGAAATTAAATTCAATTATCCTACACATGGTTCAATCGACCAGAATTTTCTTGTGAATTATGGAGACGTTATGGTCAACACAACAAATTGACAATCACTTCTACTTAATTAGTTGATAAAGTACATTAACACATGATAATTTTATTCTAATTTTTTTACTCGCTTTTATTAAATAAATGTAGTTGGTATGATAATGCTATAAATGGGTTTTGAGTAATTATACATTACTTCGTAAAATAAGACAATTCTTTAATGTACCTTTGAACTGAAATGTGAATTAATGCTGAAATACTTCCTTATGATCGATTAATTATTTTAAAATGAATTTAAATATAAAAATTTAGCGGCGAAAAAAAATTTTCCAAGAATTATAATTTGGATTTTTACATTTAACTTTCACATTTGTAAATTTTAAATTTAAAAATCAATAGCAAGAATTAGTAATTATGAATTAGTAATCAGTGATTCTAGATTTTTATATTATTACTAATATGTATGGGTATCATTAGTTGTTTTTTTATTTTTTAGAAGTATAAAAACAAAAAAAAAAAAAATTTTTTTCAATGATTTGCATTTTTAATAAAAATTGCTATAGATTGTTTCTTATAAAATTAATTGTTTAAAGGTTTTAGAAAAGAACTTTAAAAAAATATGTTTTTATAAATGTTCTTATTATTGACATTCAAAAAATTTATTATTTTTCAAAAATTTAAAAACATTTAAATTTTATACTTTTAATTTAATATTTTTATAACTAATTCTTGTTTAAAAAATATTACAAGTTTGATTTATATCAATTAAATACAATACTAATAAATTTAAAATATTCAAAATTATTATATTATATTTTTTTTATTTTTATTTTACAAAAAATCAAAATCTTTTTACTTTTAACTTTCATAATAATTTTTAATTTTAAAGTTAATCTTATTATTAAAAGATTTTAATACTTATATAAACTTTTTTGAAAACAAAACAAAAATAATAAAATAATAATTAAATTTAAATTTAATTACAATTTTATATTTATTGAAACAAACTTAAAAACAAATAAACAAACAAATTAATTATATTTTTATAACTTAAACAAATTTTTAAAGAGTTTATATTAAGCATTAAATAATATTAAGTATATTGTATTAATTAAACAAATCAAATTATTGGTAAGTAAATTAGGGATTTTAAAAAATATATTGAATTTCTTTGTAGGTTGACTTCAAAAATTCAAATGGTATCATTTTATTTATTAAATTAAATTAAACAATATTAAATAATAGTTATTAGTACAAGTATTATATTAAAAGGTTTAGAAATTATATATATATTCTTATTGTAACAAGAAAATATAAAAGATCAATTGAAATATACAAATATTTTAGAAAAATATATTAAAAAAAAATAATAATTAGTACAATATAACAATTAAACTTGAATTAATATTTAAATAAATTATAATATATCAAATATTATTATATGAATATATTACTATTTCATAAATGCATTAATTTATATTGTTTTCTAAATATATAATATTATACTTTTGGTTTTAAAATATATATTTAAAAAGTATTAATTATATTTATTATTTTTAATAAGTTAAATTCAATATAAATAAAATTATATAACTTATAAAAACTAAAAATTAATAATAAAACAATTATACAATATATACTTAACTATTATCTAAAACTATTATATTCTCTTTTTTAACTTTTATTTTTATTTTTTATAAACTTATATTTTATAATAAATAGTTTTTTTATTTTTCTTTATTTTCAAATATATTTACTAATAATAATAAATCAATAAACATTGAAATATATTTTTAGATTTAGAAATCAATTATAGAATAATAAGTTATTTTTTAATTAATAAAATTTTAAGAAAAACCATATTTAATATTTAATAAAAAATTTATTTATTTATTTATTTTTTTTTTTGTAGGTAAACATCATTTCTTTATTTATTTGTATAATAATAAATATACATTGCGAAAGAAACAACATCTCTTATATGTATTAGTACAATGAGTTAAATGCTAGCTTGCCTACAGTAACCACTAGACTAATATTGAAAAGAAATTTTTAA